ATAATAAAATAAAATAAAATAAAATAAAATAAAATAAAATAGGAGCTAAAAGATGAGCAGAAGTGAGCCAGTGAAGAGCAAGGGAGAGAAAACTCATAGCAAAGGCCCTCTGGCAGTTAAAAATATAGTGCATTCTAGGCCAGCAGCTAAAGTGTAGTGAGCAAAGGTGAAGGGTAGCATAAATGACTGGTATAGGGATGTGGGCATGAACCACATCCTGCAGGGCTTTGTAAGCCATGGTAAGTGGTTTATACTTTATCATAATTGTAGTGGGAAAGCTTTTAAAAATATAGCAGACAAGCAAGCTTTAACATACATACGAGACACGGTAAGTTTTTATGAAAGAGACCATTCCTTTTTGTTCCTTTTTAGGTAGAGAAGACATTCACCCGCATACTTAAATCTCGTGTTTTGCGTACAACACGACAAAACTAGTCAAGATGCCAAGTGCTTTACAAACAAAGTTGCTTATGGTGAGCTACCACGTAGCTCTTAGATTTGGCCACAAAGAGAGTGGAAAGATAGCAGTGATTTATGTATGGAAATGCAGTCTATTCTCCAAGAGCAATTCATTTTTCTCACATGGTTTCAACTTAGAATTAGTTAAAAATGATTGCATTTAGCTTTCTTCCCCCACATTAAATTACCTTGCGAAACGCTGACATAAGAGGTGTGATCTTCCGGTTATCTGCTGCATCCACATCGGCACCTGCTTGCACTAGCAATTGCACCACATCAAAGTGACCACCATTGGAGGCCAGCCAAAGTGGTGTGTTTCCCTTCTTGTTTCGAACATCAATATGGGCTCCCCTATAAAGTCAAAGAATGTTAGTATAGTTTGTATCCTATGAGAAGAGGGTGACTTTCTATTTCCTCTATTTGTCTTTTATCTTCTATAAAATAGCATACAAATAATCCATTCTTTAAAATGCCAATAAAATAAAAACAATCTGATTAATTGTAAAGGTGCTGAAAAGTAAAAAGGATCACAAAAACTTCTATATGTAAATATAAAATTTACCCACCTATTAATCAGGAGCTCACAAAATTTGTAGTGACCTTTGTCTGCTGCTATTGTGAGAGCAGTATCTCTTGAGGAAGGCACAGGGGGGGCATTGACATCTGCTCCTTTATCAAGGAGAACTCTTCCAACCTCTGCATATCCTCCAGAAGCAGCTTCCATCAAGGGGGTAAGACCAGTCTGTTTAAACCAAAAATTTATGCAAGCAAATGAATACAATTATCTTAACAGACTAAAACAACTGACTTATAAGTGGATTCTATTTCTGATTTTCTCTCATAAAAGAACTAAGCAGTATTCAGCCTTCAATTTCACTAAACAACAAGTGAAAATTGTTGAATTGAGTTAGACATGCTGGAATGAACTCACTCATCCCAACTCATAAAAAAACAATTTCGCAACTTCTATACTGTTATAAATTTATACATGAGACAGTAACTTCTCTGCACAATGAATACAGATAATGAAAAATGAATAAAAAGAAAATTAAATAAGGCACATCACTGTTCAATGGGAAAATTCTGTTTAATGTTTTTTTTAATTTTTTTATTTTTGAGAAAGACAGAATGTGAGTGGGGGAGGGGCAGAGAGAGAGAGGGAGACACAGAATTTGAACCAGGCTCCAGACTCTGAGCTGTCGGCACAGGGCCTGACGCAGGGTTCTAACTCATGAACTGTGAGATCATGACCTAAGCCAAAGTCGGACACTTAACTGTCTGAGCCACCCAGGCACCCTGGGAAAATTTTGTTTAAAATATCTAACTGAGAATGTTAGTTTGCTAAATAACTCTGGATAAATTCCTTTAATCCTATTCAAACTTGGGAAAAGTAGATTAAAATAGCACTGCTTAAATTTTATGCATAGGTGTCTTTTGCTCATTAGTTTTCAAAATATTTGCCAAGAGACATTTCCTACTGGTATCATTTCCAAAGTAATACGGGTTTCTCTAGGACATCTAATAGATAATTGGGCCACACTAAGTATGCATAATACAAAAAGATAAACTGGATAGCAGGAAAGGCTCATTTTTCTTTGTGCTATGAAAAATTTAAGGAAAACTACACTCCCTAATTTCATAGATTAAAAAAATGTAAATGTTGCATTAAATTTTAAGAAACATAACTAATGCAGTTCAGAGAGAAAATATGAGAATTTCATTCAGATCTTTCAAATATGAAATGACTAAAAATTTGGCCATTCATTGTGTGATTATAATGAATTCTATATAAGCTACGCTTTTCTAGGGTTGTAAGTTCCTAATAATTCCAAGCATAACAATTAAAAACGCCAAGATACTAACTCCTTTCTAAATGCCAAACACTCATGAAATTGTCAGAATCTGTCACGATCAGATTAGATTTTAGCTGTCTTAATTTTATAATCCACGCAGTTCTTTAAAAATCTACATTAAAGGACTCTATATGGGACACCTGGCTGGCTTAGTTGATAGAAAATACAACTCTTGATCTCAGGGTCGTGGGTTCAAGCCTAATGTTGGGAGCAGAACTTACCTAAGAAATTAAAAAAAAAGCACTCTACAAAATAATCTTAACACAAAATCTTATTACAGTCAAAAGTGCAAACTCGAAGATTCATAGAGAGCTACTCAAGTTTGAGGTTGGAAAATGTGCCGATTCTACTTTCTTCATTGTTCTTAACAAAAGTCACAAATGATGATATTGTGTCACTGACCACTGTATATAGCACAGTTCCCTGGTCCTGCTTTGGGCTGTCAGTTTTAACTTACAACAATTTAAAATAGCACATTCAATTTGAGTTGAAAAGCGATGTGTTTTTTTTAAGACTTTATTTTTAAGTAATCTCTACGCCCAATGTGGGGCTTGAACTCAGAGCTCCAAAATCAAGAGTCCCACACTACACCAACTGAGCCAGTCCAGTGCCCCAAAATGCCACACTTTTTACACTAGAAATACACTAGAAGTAGTTGACAAGTTATAAAGTTCTTACCTTTGCCCTATGTTCAACATTGGCTTTTCGGTCCAGAAGCAAACTCACGACTTCTGCCCGGCCTTGAAAACAGGCCAAAGTAAGAGCCGTGTTCCGATTGGTCTCTATTTGGGCATTAATGTCTGAACCCATATCAAGCAGCAGTTTCACTGCAGGAACATGTCCATTCATGGCAGCCAACATCAGGGGAGAAATACCCAGTTTACTCCCAGTCCTAAAGGGAGAAATGTGCTTAGAAAATTAGGTAATATGTTGCCTATTGCGTTTTAAAAAGCATAGAGAATATAAAAGATGAAAATGATTCAGTAAAAAGAAAGGTTTCTAACACCAGTGTAAATTTTATTTGTGTAGACTACTAATTAGGAATAGGAAAATCTAACTATTTATTTATTTATAGATTAATATTATTTATTGTTTATTTATTTTGAGAGAGTGACAGCATGGGGGGAGGGCAGAGAGAGAGAGAGAGAGAGAGAGAGGGAGAGAGAGAGAGTGTATGTGAGAGAGAAGGAGAGAGAGAATCCCAAGCAGGATCCATGCTATCAGCATAGAACCCAATGCAGGGCTCAAACTCATGAACCATGATATCATGACCTGAGCTGAGATCAAGAGTCAGATGCTTTAACTGACTGAACCACCCAGGCACCCCGGAAAATTACACAATGTAAAAGATAATCCCTATTTAGAGGTTATAAATTTCCAACTACACATAATGAAGTACTTTCCGAGATGACACCTCTCTAAAAATAGCCATGTTAGCATTTTGAAGTAAGCTGTGATTACTTATAAGCACATTACAGGAATAATTGTTGGTCTTGTAACTTTAATACAATCTTTAAAAAAAATTTTCACTTTTAGTTAAAGTATACTTGATTTTAATACTATCTTAATTAAAAGTGGTATCTGTCCAGATATATAGAGGAAGACATTTAACCCCAATGTAGTAATGTACTAATCATGAATAATAAAATGAAGATACATACCTTGAATTAATCTCCGCCCCAGCATTAAGTAGAATCTTAATGATATTAACATATCCTCCAGATGCAGCTAGACTCAATGGTGTATAATCAGACACGTTCCTGTGTTCTTTATTTGCACCTCGAGCCAGCAGCAAGTCTACCACCTACAAAGTAAAATATAAAAAAACAAGTGTTCAACTTATAATGAAGGAAGCACAGAGAAATGGAACCTGTAACTTCCTTGCCTGAATATCTGGCATTTTAATTATGCCCTAGCTATTCAAGTATCAGCAACTGGAGAAATGGATTAAACTTCGTATCAGGAATTTGGAGCTTTGAAATCCCAATTATATTACAATAACAAGATATTACTCTCTCTTTTTTTGTTTTTAAAATGTTACTCTTCCTACTCGTCAATTGTTGAGTGACGAATTTGCATTTCATATGTGTTAGGGTTATGGTTCATTCAGCCCCCAATAAATGTAAGGATAAACAGAAATTTTTTTGCCTAAATGGCAAGAAACAGATTCTATGAAAGGTGATTCACTACTCCCATTAAACTTAGTATATGGAACATGTCAAAACACAGGCAAGTTTTATTCATGTAGCTAAATTACTTAGTATATGCATATTTAAAATATGAGCATAATGGTTACAAAGCGAAAATTAACATTAACACACCTCCTGACGTCCACCAGAACATGCTAATGAAAGTGGAGTATCCTTAGTTCGTTCAGATTGTGCTTCTATATCGCCACCTTTATCCAAAAGGATTTCAACAACTCCAACATGCCCTGCTGTTGCTGCCAGAATCAGTGGTGTGAAACCTAAAGGAGAAATAAAAATGTCAAATTTGTGTTTTTTGCTTATTGAACCATTGTTTTCAATTTTCTATTAAAATTTTTTTTAAGTTTATTTATTTATTTGAGAGAGAGAGAGAGTGAGTAGGGGAGGGGCAGAGAGAGAGGGAAAGAGAGAAAATCCCAAGCAGGCTCCTGGCTGTTAGTGCAGAGCCCAATGCAGGGTTTGAACTCATGAACAGTGAGATCACGACATGAGCCAAAACCAAGAGTCGGACACTTAACCAACTGAGCCACCCAGGGGCCCCTCAGTTTTCTATTATTTTAATAGAATAAGGTCATTAAGGTAGATAATTATAGCCATTTAACAAACTGCTCTAAGCTCTCATTTGTTAGTGACAAAAATCCCAAAATACCTGATAAAAACGAAATGCTAAGTCAAACAAAACTACTAAAGTTTATACTCATAATGAGCTCTGGATGTTATACTTTTGGATTAAGAAGAAAGGCAACCATGGGGTGCCTGGGTGGCTCAGTCGGTTGAGCGTCCGACTTCGGCTCAGGTCATGATCTCACGGTTTGTGAGTTTGAGCCCCGCGTCGGGCTCTGTGCTGACAGCTCAGAGCCGGGAGCTGCTTCAGATTCTGTGTCTCCCCCTCCCTCTACCCTTCCCCCGCTTGTGCTCTGTCTCTCTCTCTCAAAAATAAATAAACATTAAAAAAAAAATTACAAAAAAAAAAAAAGGCAACCACAACTTGCTGTATTTCACTCATGATATATAGTCTTAATTTAAAAAAATTTTTGAGAATAATTTGGCTCTGTAAATGAACAAATCTGGATATTCCTAATTGAAATATGCATATCCACCTTTTAAAAATTTATTTATTTTCAGAGAGAGTGAGTGCACGCACGTGCACGCGCACACACACACACGTGCAAGAGCAGGAGAGGCAGAGAGAAAGACGGAGAGAGAGACAATCCCAAGCAGGCTTCACACTGTCAGACCAGAGTCCGATGCAGGACTCGAACCCACAAACCATGAGATCATGACCTAAGCTGAAATCAAGAGTCAGACACTTAACAGACTGAGCTGCTGCCTAGGTACCCCTGCTTCTCCATCTTTTCACTGAGATAGTTTCGGAACTACTTATTGATAATAAAAAAGTAATTGTTTTTGGGGCACCTGGGTGGCTCAGTCACCTAAACGTCCAACTTTGGCTCAGGTCATGTTCTCAAGGTTTGTGAGTCTGGGACCCATATCAGGCTCGCTAATATCAGCCATGAGGCCTGCTTCAGATCTTCTTTCCCTCTCTCTCTCTCTCTGCCCCTCCCCTGCTCGCTCCCATTCTCTCTCTCAAAAATAAATATTAAAAAAATAACAATTATCTTCTAAACAGGCAGACACACACAAAAACACACACGAAAAAACTCTTAGGCTTTACTTCTGACTGACATGTCTTACCTTTTTTGTCTCTGTGCTCAATTTTAGCATCTCGTGCAATGAGTACAGACACAAGTTCTTCGTGGCCACCTGCACAAGCTAATGTCAATGCTGTGTCATGATTGCTCTCAGTCTAAAAGGAAAAAAGGTTGGTTTTTGTTTACAATGGGATTATCAATTGAAGAGCAAATAATTCTTATTTGTACAATGAATGTACAATAATTTTCTTTTCCAAAGAAAATCAGAATTTGCAAAATAAGTTTAAATAAAGCAATCTACTCACATGTGCATCAATGTCAACTGAAGGATACACAGGGGGCATAGACTGGGAAGCCACATTGCTTGGAGACTGTGAACAGGGTTCAGGTGTAAGACATTCTGTGGTCTGAGAGGAACTGTTTGAACCAGTGGGCACTCTGCTACTCACAGCTGAAAAACAATATTCACATTGCTGAATGCTACTTGAAAGAATGAAGTCATTTGTATACAGAAAAACACAAAAAACAGAAAATTTTATAGCAGGAATATAATGTAGTAGTCAAATCACAAGCTTTGGAGTCAAACGGACCTATACTTAAATCCTAGTTCCACCACTTTCTGATTTCGGGCAAGTAATTTAACCTCGGAGAGTCTCAATTTTCCTGATATGTAAAATGAGGATGATAATAATAGTACCTGCCTTGAAATATTGTCGGAAACACCACTTGAGATGATGCAGGTAAAGTACTTATTAGCATGGTGCCCATTATTTAGTGAATATACAACAAATGATAGCCTTTTATGCTGTCAATAGGGAAAAAGTAGTTTCCAATAAATAATAAATTTTGTATCTTAGTTTGTAAAAGGTAATTAGATAAAAACATCCTAAAGACAATACAAAAAAAGGGGGGGGGGAGAATACATTAAAATATTTCTCACATAAATAGCAGAGAATATGTTTTAAAATTCAATATTTACTTTGAAAATTTGCTAAAATGCATCAATGTCTGAAAATAAAACTATTCTTAAAATGAACATTGGAACTTTTATTAGAGATATCAGTCTGGTGTTTGAAAACTGAGTTAACTTACATTCTATCTTTATGTCTCTGCATATTGCTTATGTTTCTTAAGAGAGTGTTAACCCCACAGAGGGAGAAATGGGACCTATTCAGAGGGATGTTATGAGTTGTCTGCTAGGTAAGGAACAAAAAACATTTAAAACACACAGTGTTTGGCACATGTTAAGTGCTCAATAAATGTAACTATCAGATATTTTATAGGACTTTCAGTACTATTGTTCACTGTATTGAAAAATATAAACATTACTACTCACTTAAGAAAATACTCAGAAAAAAACATATAACCATTAATAATATGAAAAAAAACAAAACAAAAAACAAAGCTTCAGTGATAACAATAACCTTCTCTTACCTAGACCAAAAATCAAAAACACAGGTCTCCACAGAAAATGTAATCATTTCACATGCTGGAGAATGTTTACTCTCTAGAATTTTGATATGACTGGATCCTAATCAAGGATACCATTCACAACAAAAAATGACTAAGTTTAGTATACTACTTCTTAAATAACTTGCAAACTTAAGATGTTCAGATATATTTCTACAAGAGCTGTCCCGCTCTTCTCCCCACCAATATATATATAAAATTGTCTTGGCCATATGAATTTCTATAGCTTCTATCATGGTTACGAATAGGAATAATTATTATGTATTTTTGTTTCACATATAAGAATGTGCACAATGGAAACAAAGTTTAATAAAAAAAATTTTTGTCATCAATGAATTAAAAGCAGATAGTATTTTGCTATACCTCCTCAAAACAGCAGATACGTTTGGAAAACAGCTCTAGAAAATAAGACACTAAAGAGTAATATGTAGCTTCTCTGTAATAATAAGCTTTTAACAGTAGTCTCATAATTATCCACATATACCTTACTAACATAACTACTTTTTTTTATCATTATTAATGTTGTCTATCCATGTTATCTCCTTTTGTTATTATGAAAAACAGATACTTAAATTTTTTAAATAACTGATTAGAGCACTATGTCAGATGTGATACAAAAAAGACTTCTTCACAGAGATGGTTTTTAAAAAATACTTTTGTGCATTTAACAGCTCTATTACCAAAAATGTGTTGTTGTATCAACTATCATACATTTTTGTACAATATTATCCTAGAAACATTTTTTCCTCTTTGCAATAATGACAATCAGAAACATTCCACAAAAGTGACTTTAATAGGATTAATTACATACGAAAAGTAATGAAAACTAGAAAGTAGCAAGATTTAAAAAGGTACATGTGGAATAAAGGTTTTATTAACATAAAATTACACCAGGACTATTACATTTTCATAAACCCTAAAACGTTTCCTACCTCTGAATGAAATGTCTCTGAAAATGACTAATACAGATTGCTGCCACAAAAGTCACTATACAATTCAAATTAAACTTATGCACTATCCTAAAATGGGGTGATAGAAGAACTAACTGCAATATTCTACTTAATTCTTTATGAAATTTAACATGGTTTTTTAGGCAATATGGAAGATAATAATAAACTTTACTATATAAAAATCTCAGATACTACGGGTACATAAACTATGCTGTGAGAGTTTAGAAAATTAAATTACCATAATCTGTTTTATATAATAGTAACTTTAGTAAATATATACAAATAAATAAAAGCCTATAAGTAAAATATTAACATTAGAAGAAATTATTTAAAGATATTTTATTGCAAATTCTCTCAAAAATAAGAGGATTTCCTAAGTACCTTTTTATTCTTAAGATTATACTATAAGATTACTTAAAGCAATATACTTTTGAACGAGAATTTGTTTTAAGAGAACCTATTAAGGTGCCAACAACACTAACAATGCGCTAGCCACAAAACTATATAAAACTTACATACATATAAAATCTTTATATAAAAATAAGGGAAACTGTTCATTTTTTTAGAAGTCCAAGGGAATAACAAATATCTTTAAGATAAATCCAGAACTTCAAGATGAATCAGATGCATGCATATTACACTTAAGGTTTTTAAACATGGCTGAACTGAGTTTAAATCTTGGCACCTAGTAGTAACTTAATATCCATATGTCTTAGTTTTTCAACAGAAAAACAGATGTGGGAAAAGGACCTATTTTATAAGATTATTATAAATAGCCATGAGATAATGTATATAAAGCATTGAGCACAGAGCTTAGTACATGGTAAGTGCTCAATAAATGTGAATAAATTGATATTACTTGATTTTTAATTGATCTTTATAAATTAATGATAAAATTTTTACTAGATGTTTCTAGAAATGCTCAATTGTCAAAGCTATTTTGAATTTTAGATTTCTAAATCTTAGTTCTATACGTTTGAACTGAGAATCACTTGTCATTATGATAACTTCTAAAAGCCCAACACTTATTTTTACAAGGAAAGGACCTGAAGAACCATGCTCCCAATCAAGAGTTTACATACATTCTGTCTGGGACTATATCAAGTATGACACATATAAGACTATACACTAAAATACTAAGTCAATCAAGTCACCGTCTTACTAAATTACTTATCTAACCAACTCATTTACATGAAAATATTTTGCCATACAAGCAATAAAGAAAAAAATACTCCTATATTTAAAGAGCAAAATTTATTGCTATTATTTAATGGATATTCTCTAAAGTAAAACTGTAAGATATACAGTATTCTCTCCTTTATTAAATACAAGGGATGAGAACTAGATTTAATTTGGGTAAAAATAATTACATCTTTGGCCTGATCTATAATTATTATTAATATATTAATATAGCATGCAATCGTAGAATTAGGTATTCACCTAATCCACCCTTGTCTGATTTCTTTCACCTTCAATAAAGAAAATTAAAAGAAACCGGGACTTAATAACTTTTTTTAACTTTAAGTGAGAAAGTTTGTCATACTGAAAAAGGAAATTTAATTGTTGCTATATATTTTAAAACAGATAACCTTCATAAAAATGGAAAATTTTTATATGAAGATAACTTTTGTATTTATTGGTTGATTTATATGTGAAAGCTTGTTAATAAAAGAATATCGTACAAAATGATAGGCTAACTATCACTAGACTAATGTCTAACAGAAATTAAATTTTCATAGTTTATATTAACATGTATAAATAAAAGGTGTTTCTAAACAAATATTTTGAACTTTATAAAAGACCATTTCAATTTAACAAATAGTTGAATGAAATAAAATTTCACCTCCCATACAAGAACCACCCATAAATACTACCATAAAGTTAATATCTTCAAGTTCCTTTTAGAGCTGTTTCTACATTATTAAAAAAAAAAAAAAAAAGACAGGTTCTAAGTTACAACAAAGCTAGATTGAGCAGTAATGTGGGTTTCATAACTGCAAACTGAGTATGTAATTACAAACATTATAATGCTACTTATAGAATCCTAAGTCTTAAAAATTTTACTCCCATATGATTGGTTTCATTATTATTATTCATATTTGTACTTGACACTCAAATATCTGCTTATATTAGATTAGAAATTAGAACTATAAATGAACTCTTAAGAGTTTATTCATAATTTATAACAATTCTCAATACTAACGACATAAAGTTCATTTGAGTTAAGCGACTGTTGGCTGCAGGTATAAAAAACCCAAATTAAAGAATAAAGAATCTAACTTCTTAAAACCTTTCCCAGCATTTTTATTCTCTTTCTAGGAAACTTCTTCTGCACAGTGATACTAATTACGTATCAGAGGAAACTCATAGGCAGTATCACAGTTCTATAACCATTACAAGTCATATACAAGCCCAATATAATTCCTGATTTAAGTAAGCTTATTCCACATTTTTAAAGATTCAGCAAAGATTAGGAAGGCTAAAAGCTCACAAAAGAAGAAAGGAAACTGGGATAGCATAATTGGGATGGGAAGAGGGGAGGAGAATATGACAAGAGGAAACAGACAACAGTAAGGAAAAAAATGTTGCAATCAAGAGACAGAGGACTGGCCTGCCTTTGAATATCACTCCAGCTACATCTTAGTTCTTGGTCTTCATCCACTGTCAACAGCCATTCTGGCTGCATTTCTGAACTGGGCTCTCATGGAGGTGATACATTCACCAGCCATCTTTAGGAAGGTAAATGATTAATTGCACTGTTTTCCCACTGCTGCAAGGACAATGAAAGGGAAAGTAAACTTGTGCACCTCATTTCAAATCTAGTTGTAATTTTCCACACAACAATAAACAGAAACATATACTTTAAGGTTATCAGGCCTTTCTTTTTCTCTTTTCCTGTGTGTATGTGTGGTGTCTTTGTCTGTGTGCTTTCATCAGGATAGTAAATATGAAAATCCCAATCTCCAAATCATCATCCAGTTGATGATAACTTCAGGGTAATTTGAATCTTCTGACCACAGATACAAGAACATGGAATGCGTAGTTTTCTCTGAACATCCCTTTTAATTACAAATATTAAAGTGATCTAATATAATTATAAATAAAGAGAAAGCCATGTAATTTAGAATTACGATTTCCACATATGAAAATCAATAGCAGGAAAATTTAACGTATAATCTTACGTGAATATCTCTAAGGTCTACAAAGAAATTCTATTTAGAGGTCTCCTACCCAAGATACAACAAAGGGTATGTTTTTGCTTATTTGTTTAAAGCAGTCTCTACACCCATCATGGGGCTTAAACTCACAATCTGGAAAGCAAGCGTTGCATGCTCTACCAACTGAGTCACCCAGGTGCCCCCACAGGGTGGTTTCTTTCTTTCTTTTTTTTTTTTTTTTTAAATTTCATTTAATTTTTTAATGATTTTTTCCCCTCACAGGGTGGTTTTGATACCAAAGTTCTAAAATAAAAGATCATGTCAATTTTATTTCTGTGCCTTTGCAAATAACGAAAAAGAAGAGGGGAAAACACACTTTTGTGCATTAGTGCTGTCTGGCTTAGTTAAATTCACTTCCAAAACACCTCTAGGAATAAGTAATTTTGCAAAGATAGGTCTAAAATGGAAAAGTACCAGGTTGGTGTCTTTGAAGGGTCGTGTAAAGAAGTTGAGCACACAGATTAAAGAGAAATTATTACAGATATATTTCTTAACCCACCTGCTATCAGGTCATCAAGAGTGTCGGTAAGCGTCTGGGCTGGAGTTGCAACCATTAGTCCATCTGGTTCTTGAACTAACAGCCCCTGATCATGTCCAGTAATAGCAATCTGAGGCTGTCCTATAAGCTGATGATTACCTGATACTTTCTGAAGTTCAAGAGAACTTGTCCCATTAGAACCTAAGTCACCGGAAAAGTTACACTGTGGAGATGATAAAGGCTGGACTGGGACAAAATCAATTTGTGCTGCCGATGGTGGAGACTGGTGCTCATCATCAACATCGTTATCTTTAAATAAGAGTGTGTCAACCTGAGGTAACTCTGCAAAGTGATCCTCTGGGAGACTACCATCTCCTTCCCCTTCTGGGAAGACTCCGCTATGAGAGCACTGCTGCTGTGGAGATACTGTGTCTTTCTGACCTTTGGTTTCCAAGTATTCTTTGGTAAATTGCTGCTGTGTTTTCATCTGCAACTGCCTTTCCACTTTCTGCAGTTCCTTCAGTATTTTCTTCTTCTTCTGGACTTGCTCTTCTCTGTTCTTTTTAAGTTCTTCTATCTTATCTTTGTTCAGAGGTTCACCTTGAATTAACTCCAGTGACTTAAGCTGTGCTTTTTCAATAGCACTAATTCTTTGTCCCAGTTCATTCAGCTTGCCTTCAGTCTCCTCTACTATGCACTCCAAAGGCTGGTATGGGTGAAAAGGTGGCAGTACGTCCTGATCTGCTACCTGCAGGGAACTGGACTTCTGCTTGGATGTACCTAAGCACATGAAAAATGTTTGAAAAAGTGCCATGCTAAAAAAAAAAAAAAAATCAGCTCCCCCTCCCACACACACGGACCTCCCTCCCAAAACCCTTTTAACTAAGGCTGTAAAATGAATGTTCAAAGACTCACACCGGTGGGAGGCAGATTAAAGACTAGACTCCTCTATTTCACATAGCACATGCTGGGATGTTGCCAATTCAAAAAATGGGAATTTTTTAATTAAAAAATCGAATCTTTAGGATAGGAGGATTCTGGAAATTAAAACAGGTCCGGGAAAAAGGAAATCAAAGAGGAAAAATCTTGAAATTTTGCTTAGTAGATTGGACTTTTAAAGAATGTCAAATCTAAAATAGTGTCAAAAGAGCGTTGAGGATATCATCAGTATTAGCTTAACTTTTCAATTGTTTCTTCACAATATTAACTGTGCAAGTAAAGGTTACTACAGGAAACTGTAACTTATAAATCAAAGTAGTGAAAAGTATTTTTCAAGTGGCCAAAACCTTTGTCTTGTTACATTAAAATACAGCATGAAATCAGTTTTTTCAGGACCTATCCTAAAATTTTCCACTAATAAGTCTTTAGCATTTCTTTACCTGAAAACTATATTAAACTTAAGTCACAAAGGACAATTATTCTGAGTTTAAATAAACTCTTCATGTAAAAGTCTACGAGAGAAACTGAGTATTACCTAGGAGAAACCAGGCTTCTCATATAGGATTTCTCATACTGACAGTATATGTTAAAAATGAAGTAAATGTGTGTTATTTTAAGATTTTGAATTGCACTTAAGTTACTCCCCTCATTACAAAATAATTATCAATATTAACAATCCTAACATTGGGACATAAAATGGAAAAAAATATATACAGTAACTACTCTGAGGCATACTCAAGGCTTAATTCTCCTGTTTAGGAAGAATTGGGACTATTCAGCAATAGAAAGGAACAAACTACTGATACATTCCATAAGGGGGATGAACCTTGAAAACATTACACTAAGTGAAAGGAGACAGTCACAAAAGATCACATATTATGCAATTCCATTTATATCAAATCTATAAAGAAAAAGGCAAATCTATAGAGACAGAAAGAAAAGTAGTGGTTGCTTGGGGTTATAGTAGTGAGAAGGAAGATTGATTACAAACTGGCATGAAAGGTCTCAGAATGATAGAGATTAAAACTAGATGGTGGTGATGGTTACAAAATTCTATAAATTTACTAAAACTCGCTGCACTGTACACTTAAAACGAAGGACCTTTAACGTATGTAAATTAAACAACAATAGAGCCGCTTTTAAAAAAGATCTGGGTAAAAAATAGTTTACTGTTTTGAATTGCAGTCAACATATGAATAATATAAGTAACTTAAGGTTTTTAAAAATAAGATCATCCAATGTATTCACAATGATTCTTAAGTCCAAAGGAAAAAGTCATCACCCATTTGATGTTAAAATACTCTGAATTACAAGAGGGTAATGAAACCACTAGGGAAAAAAATTAGAGCGTCAACTGTTTTTTGGTTTTTTTCTTCTAGAGTCGGAGATCTCAAAACTGCATATACCTCAAGCATCTTCAACATGTTATTAATGAAAAAGTCTAACAGTTTTCCCCCTAGATATTGACTTTAACAGGGTCAGGATACCACAGTTTTGAAATTATGGCAATCATTTTAAGAGAATTATTCTTTGAAAGCAACCCTCATCAAAATGTATTGCCCATATTTAATTTTATCTGAACTAAGAGATGGGTAAAGACTTTAATCTTCCTGAGCAAAAGCTGTTATATTTGTGAGATAATTTAATAACTACTATAAGATCTTACAGGAATTCATGGTTTGGTTTATCTGTTCCAAGTACCTAATAACAATCAACAGGTAAGAAAAAGGAGATTTACTGCCACAAACAGCAATGTAGACATCTGCTAGTCCAGCAAAGAAATTTTCAATCGTGTAATAAATGCAATAACATCAGCAATTTAGTAGCTCTGCAAAGAATGAATATTCCTTTAAATGCTCATTAATTTTATTTACAACACGCTAGTATACTTACTAACAGGAATACGCCCTATCTTTTTTTTTTTTCAAGTTTATTCATTTATTACTGAGACAGAGACAGTTCAAATGGGGGAGGGGCAGAGAGAGAGAGAGAGAGAGAGAGAGAGAGAGAGAGTCCCAAGCAGGCTCTGTGCTGTCGGCACAGAGCCCAACGCTGGGCTTGAATTCATGAAACTATGAAATCATGACCTGAGCCAAAACTGAGAGTCAGACACTTAACGGACTGAGCCACCCAGGCACCCCAAGCCCTATCTTGTTAACAAATAAAATCCAAGAAGTTTAGAGTACAAGATTACTAAAAGTAACTTATGTAACTGAATATAAAGACTATAAGCTGAGGACATATGTAGCAGGAAGAACACGATGGTAGAAAATAATGGACAAAAAACAGTTCTTCCAAAAATAGCCAATGGCTGAGTATCTGTAATCATGGAGTTAGTGGGATTGCATAGCTACACATTAGAGCACTAATTCAAGCTATAAATCAAGAATAAAACAAGGTGGTGAAGCACAAATAATGTCACCTAATTATTCCTAGAAGTTAAAGCAACACCTTCTGTGTTTGGGAAAAGAAGAGAATGTGACAAGCATCCTTCTAGCAACAAAAATTTTAGTAGGTAGGAAGGCAGTTGTGTAAGATGCCAGAAAATAAGAGTTCCACCTCTTTAAAACATCTCCCACTGTCACGTACAAATAAATTAAATCTATTCACTGGCAGCAGTGAGAGACATCATAAAGTACTATTTAGGAATATAGGTAAACCAACATCTAACTCTTTGGTCTGGTGTTTATCCTACTTCCTCAGCTTTCCCTTTTGTACCATCAATAAAACTAAGAGTCTGTAATAAGAAACCATAACACAGAGACGGTTTCAAACATAGCCTTTCTTTTATGCGCAGTAAGGGAATGAGGTAGACATATATTTGACAAAAATTTAGTTTACTACTGAAATGAGCTTAATTCCATCAGTTATTTTCATGTATAAAATAGTATAGTGTGCAATAAAAAATAATGGCCAAAGGGAAAATTATAGGACATACAGATGGGTCTGGATTTGGTTTCATATTTCCTTACTTGATTTTGTCTAAGGACATTTAAGCGCTGTTCCACAATTCCCTTGCTTTCTTACATTACTACACAGCATCTTACTAGAATGAAATAGCACTCCCAACTGGGTCTTAAATGGAAAAAAAGGTTGATGAAATACAGTTGAAAATAACACAATACATCAAGTGTAGTAGAGTATATATTATCTAATGGAATTTATATTTGGGTAAACAGATGTATATTGTGTTCTGAGTTTCAATATAAAATATTTCCTGTTATGGTCACAGTCAAAATGTGTCAAAAATGAAAGCCACTGGCCTAGAAAAGACTTATTTTGCCTTTATGCCTAAATTTCTATCTCAGAATTTCCCAAAGTAACAGGGCATGCTATACAGCTTTAATACAGTAAGGATAACCAAGCATGTCCAAAGACAGAGCATCTGTGTAACATCCTAAAAGATTAGTTCAACTTTCTGCCTTTTACTGTAAACAGCTATATGTTAAAAGATTAAATTCAGGCATATGTAAATCCATATAAGCATGATTACATGGAAATCTGCTAAACTAGAGAACATTAGGAGTAAAATTTCCAGAGGAACACTCAATTTCATTCACTGTACATATAATTTCTATATGATTTTACTGATTTGATATAAAAATAAGAACTTCTCATGTTACCTACTCTAATAAACAATTCTGGGATATAAAGCAGCATGTTAATTTCTTAGTTTATGTTCAAATTTTTTTCGATCTTGTCTGAACCACTCTAGTATACTACTTCTTAATTTTTTACACATCCTCTTTAATTACAATGTCTCTCTTCTTAAAAAAATTCTTAATTTTCTTTTGTCTTCAGAATAATCTAAATTCTTAGCCTGGCACCATTAATTTATTCAACAAATATATGAGCATCTAGTATAAGCAAGGCATAGTGAGCCATACAAAGATGAGCAACATAAACCCTGCCCTTGAGGAGCTTACAGTCTAAAAGGGGAGATAAAGATGTACAAATCCAAATGTAAGAATTAAGTCAAGGGTTGGAAGGCATGGAAATGGGAAGGAGAGTGTATAATATGGGAACCCTTATGCATTACTAGTGGGAGTGTAAACTTCTATAGCCATCCCGGAGAGCAAATTTGTGGCACTTTGTCAGATAAACATTATGCATTCCTCAGACAGGTAATTCTGCTCCTGATTATATCCCAAAGAAATTCTCACACAGACCCACAAGGGGACTGTACCATGACTTTCATCACAGCATTGTCTGTGGTGGTGGGGAATGAGAGGCTATTTGGTATACCCATCACTGGAAAAGGAGAAGTAAAACAAGAAAAATATACAGGGTGAAGCACTGTGTTGCCAGCAGAAATAATCTAGAGGTGGATACACATCGATAGATCTTTAAAACAGTGCTGAGTGAGAAAAGTAAAAAACAAAACACGACCTATAGCACAATACCAGTCATGTAAATCAAAAATACACACAAAGTAGTAAACATTTTATAAGAACAAAAGAACTCACATCAAACACAGTAGAGTCATTGCCTACAAGGGAAGTAAGGGAATGGGAAGACGGAGAAAAGAGAATAAATAAAACAAAAGAGGATCCATGACAATAAAGCAGCAGGAATGGAGTATGATTAACTCAACCTTCTTTCTATACTTTGAAGTCCAAGGGGAGGGGAAGAGGCAGGAGTGACCAGAGTCTGAAGGAAGATCCCATGAAGTGTTGTTGGACTCCAGAGAAAAGCAATTACTCCTCAAGAGGCCCTGAGGTACACACAAAGATGTGTTTTGTTTATCCTAACATCATTTTAGTGTTTTGCAACAAATCAGTTCTAAGATGTACAACCTGCAGAAGATAACTATGAGTCCTACCTTTTAGAATTCCTGGAGAACCAGTTACAACAAATAAGTTGGATGCAAGAGTGGCTTTAAGTAACAAATTTATTTACAAAACTGATTTGGAAGGGCAAAAGGTTGATATTATTTACATATCCTTTCCCAACTGAACGTTCAAAACTATAGTTAGTAAAGCTAAATAATGCTAGAAAACGGAGCATACCACTATCACCTGGTTTCACATTTTGTTTATAGAGGTGATCTTGAGGCCTCTGTCAGATACCACCTAGAATGCTGATTCCTTTGAAAACCGACCATGGATAAGTGAGATTAGTTGCCTAAAAAAGGAGAATATGGGTCAAGATGGATGGAGCCTAGGCAAACGAAGCACATGGATCATGAAAGAAAAGAATATCTGAATAGGATATATAAAAATACCTGGGTAAGTCTTTTTTTTTTTTTTTTAATGTTTATTTTGAGAGACAGAGAAAGAGAGAGACAGAGACAGAGCATGAGGGAGGAAGGAACAGAGAGAGGGGGAAGCACAGAATCCTAAGCAGGCTCCAGGTTCTGAGCTGTCAGCACAGAGCCTGACGCGGGGCTCAAACTCATGAACTGTGAGATCTTGACCTGAGCAGAAGTTGGACACTTGACTCACTGAGTCACCCAGGTGCCCCAAAATACCTGGTTAAGTTTTAAGGGCATGATATGTTCTAGAAGGATACAGATATGAATAATAAAAAGACATGAAATGTTCTAAGAACTTAAAAAATGATTGCTAGGAAAGGAAGAGAGTCCTAAAGAGTAAGAACTCTTCCTCCATCCCTAATCAAGCATGCAACACAGAGATAGTCTAAGGACTTAGAAGAAACAAAAACACGAGCAGTGAACAGAGATTTCACCACTCAAAGAAATTTCTTTAGAGAAATAACAGAGTTTTGAGGAGAAAAAGACACTTTGAGGAGAAAAGTAATAATATTTCTTCCATAACTTAAGATAACGTTTTCCTATCTATCTGGATACTTCAGTATGTACGTTTACAACACCAACTAATTTTTCCTAATTCATAGTGATATAATACTCTACGATGCACATGATTTATATTAAAATAACATCTTAATACAGTGGATTATCACAGTTGGCTCTACGTAAAGAACTACTAGGTTGGCAATGCCACTGGCAGTTGACAACATCAAGTACCCAAGGGTCTAAATACAAGTGTTAATTTTTTCCTTCTCTAATAATTTAGTAAAATGAAAGATCATTAAAAAATTAGTTCATTTTTATGCTATTCAGTAAGTAATAAAACATCAGAGTGAAGAAAATAAGTAGATACTCAGTAAAGAAGGTCTTTCAGTAATTAAAAAATATGATTACTCACTTGAGCATCAACTTAAAGAAACCTTACCCAAACGTTTCTGTTGCCTTACATATTAAACCTGAATTTAAAATGTTTTACTTCTTCTCTGTTGACACTTTATGTCCTTCTTAGCTTATTTCTTGATTCTTTTGTTCTTCTGTGTTATTAATGTATTTTTTAATCATTTCTTATTTAGTACTGAATTTCTTTAGCCAAAGTTACTATAGTCTTCTACAATGTATAGCCAAACAAAAAATTATAAAAACAGAGACATTTAGGTTTAAGTATTTTACTAAAGGCTGTCAGTCAGGATACTCAGATTCCTTAACAAGTACATGCTTAATTTGTTTTTTATTTGTTAAGATTAAAAAAAGCAGTCTTAAAAAAAAATAGCAGTCTTATTTTTTGAAGAGTTTGAATAGCTAAGTGTCCAATAGAAAACTCCACAACTACCTTAAGTCAGAGAGATTGCAGATATTTGCTCTCTGAAATTAATAGTTTAGAAATGAACTAATCCTTGATCATGGCCCTCAATACTCTAAATTACTAAAATTGACATAATTTAAAAGTAGCTTCTGTTTGCTGCTATAATAGTCACCTCTAACCAACTTTTCTCAAATCATAGTATTAGAGGTACTAACATATACTTACACACTTCACTGTAATTTCAAAAATCTAAAGATTGGTTATTATATATTGAATGAAATACGCTCATAAATTTGTTTTTACATAGTTTTTAATACCTTACATATTACCTACTTTATTTCAGAGATATGACAACTACACGATTATCAAGTGAAGGTACTTTCTATCTACAAGTGAAGACAGCAGGAAAATATGAGAGCTCATAAACTTAAGTCCATTAAATAATATATGCTCCTTCTTAATATTCACTTGGATATCATTTATATACTTTTTGATAGTTATTTGTCCAGGTTCACATGACAGATGTAAGCCCACCATATTCAGCATTACATGAAAGAAACTACATATAATTCTTAAACTTCTAACTCCCAGAGTTGAAAAGTGCTACTAAGACTTAACTAGACAGCAAACATACATTTTCATTCCTCATATTTTACTGTTGTTCAACAAAAGAATTGTCAAATGCAAAATGAATGCCTGATAAATTTTTGCTACTGTAATATAATCAACAGCCTGATATGCTTTTAAAGTATTTTCACCTGTGCAAGATGAAAACTCCAACTAGCAGTAGGTTAGCAAGAAAATTAGAAATCATTTTTCTTAGTATTTATGTTCTTTCATTTATAAATAATCTGTAAGACTACTAGCATTTGTCAGAAATCCCTAATTCAATTAATCCTGGGTACAGAGTTACGGTGTACCATTAAAGTACTTTTGTGAATTCATTAATTAGGTGATGAAATACCCATTTTAAGGAAAATAATTCAATAACTAACCTTTTTGTACTCCTAAAAGGGCAGGAGAGTTCTCCTGTGACGTTCTATCAGGTTCCTGGGGAGGTACAACCATGGCAAGTGTATGCATTGGTACACGTGGAACCTAAAAAATTAACTCAGAAAAAATACCATCTCAGACCAAAGAATAAAAAGGAGGCCCTTAAATGAAATGGAAATTTAGATTTTATTTATATGCCACCAAGCAAGCCTCACCAAAGAATAATTTCGAGAATAGTGAATAGTGAATTGGACAAGCTCCGGCAATCTATAAGCCGTGAATGATTTAAGCTAAAGAGAATTAGTATTACTCTCTTGTTAGAGAGAAAGCCTTATTGGGGCCTTGTTGGTTCTGATTATAGTTAAGAGTACAAGTCACATATTAACTGGCCAATTTACCCTTGTTCAAATTCTGTATGGGTCAAAAAAAAGAAAAGCCAACATAGTTGCCAAATTGTGGTATTTTAGCAGTTCTCAGGGTAACATTGTGGAAAAAAACTTAAGATTTCACTGAACTTTGTATACTTAGTACACTCTACAGTCTCTCCATATTTTTAGGTAGGCTTATAAATTACTTTAATGAATTTCTGATGCATATATCCTAGTTAACTATACCCTGGTTGACAAAAGTAGCTATCTCTACAATAATTAATACTGTATTGGGAGGTACTCAGGAAGAAGTTATCTCTTGGTTCAAGATTATGCTTAAGGTATTTATTAAAAACAACCCTACAGTATGATGACAACTTGGAAAATTTGTATTTATATTTGGTATTAAGTGTTTTGTAAAAAGGATTTTTTTTTCAGTAAGATAATAAGAAATTTTCATGTACTTTTGAAGAAAATAAACCTTAAAGATTTGGGATCATGTTTATCTCAATAAGTAATAGAAAAGAGAAACAAATCCATTTTGCTTAAAACTAATTTTATTTTGGGGTGCCTGGGTGACTCAATCAGTTGAGTGTCCACCTCTTGATTTTGGCTCAGGTCATGTTACCAGGGTTATGTGATCAAGCCTCACATCAGGTTCCTTACTGGCATGAAACCTGCCTAAGATTCTCTCTCTCCCTCTGTCCCTCTCCCCAGCTCACATTCTTTTTCTAAAATTAAAAAAAAAAAAAAAATTGTTTTAAACCTAATTTTATTTATTTATTTATTTAATTTTTAAGTTTATTTATTTAAGTAATCTCTATACCCAACGTGGGGCTTGAACTAACCACCCTGAGATCAAGAGTTGTGTGCTCTTCTGACTAAGCCAGCCAGGCACCCCTAAAAGTAATTTTAAACAAAAACTCCCAATCGATTTAAAGACCCTATATTTATAAATCAACTCTGTTCTACTTTACCTGAGATTGATCTTGAGAAGGTGAGGTGAGCTGAGACACATCTGTAGTAGGAACTGACAGAACATTGTTCGGATAATCCAACAGATAAGAAACAACATTTGTATGGCCACCTTTTGCAGCTTCAATGAGCATTGTAGAGCCATCCTGAGAAAAATTGATGCTATTAGTTAATTATCTGCAAATTTCTGCTTATGACTGCTATAGACATTTAGTTTCTTGGCAACCTGCCTACAACCAACATTCATTTATAAACAGTAATGAATATTAAGCACCGAGATGAGGCAAGCATAGTTTCATTATCTTTTAATAAAAACTATTTATTTACTTATTTTTAAGTAGAATACCTTGAGTCGATGAGTAGGGTCAGCTCCATGAGCCAACAGTAGCTCAACAACTGCCAGATGACCTCCTGCACAAGCCAGTGACACTACCGTATGGTCATTATTGGCTGTAGCCCTATTCACATTGGCACCTTCAAAGAAAATCAACAGCAAAATTAGAGAAAGCTGGAATCAAGTCAAGTTTGCAGATAATAATATCACTTTAGAGTTTTTTTGAAGTATGACATAAATTAAAAAAAAAGCAAACAAATCCTAAGTGTACAGTTGAAAAATTTTTACAAAGTGAACACACCTGTGTAACCAGCACCCAGATAAAGAAACAGAACGCTATCCACATACCAGAAGTCCCACACCTTGTGCCCTCTTTCAGTCACTACCCACCCCTCCAATGGTACTACTATCCTGACTGCCAAACTGGTATTAGTTTTTGAACTTTATATGAATGAAATCATACAGTGTACTCTTTTGTGTCTGGCTTCTTTTGCCCAATTTAATTAATTTTCTTTTTTTTTTTAACATTTATTTATTTTTGAGACAGAGAGAGACAGAGCATGAACGGGGGAGGGGCAGAGAGAGAGGGAGACACAGAATCAGAAACAGGGTCCAGGCTCTGAGCCATCAGCCCAGAGCCTGACGCGGGGCTCGAACTCACGGACCGTGAGATCGTGACCTGGCTGAAGTCGGACGCTTAACCGACTGCGCCACCCAGGCGCCCCCATATTGTATAATTTAATAGTCAGAAGGACCTGGATATGGAGAGAAGACAATATCCAAAAATGTTATCTGAAAGGCTATTTAGTAAGTTGTTCAGAAGCGTTGTTCAACATGACCTGAAGAAAGTCTAAATGCAAAATCTTTTCTTAGACACAGAATCTGAAGCGGGCTCCAGGCTCTGAGCTGTCAGCACAGAGCCTGACACGGGGCTCGGACTCACGAACTGTGAGATCATGACCTGAGCCAAAGTTGGACACTTAACCAACTGAGCCACTCAGGTGCCCCACTGCTAGAATTAATTTATTTAATTTTCAGAAATATCCAGTTGAACCTAATCCTAACTCACATAAAAGTACCTTTTGGGAAGGGCAAGACACACCAATAAACATTCTTACATTAGCAATGTGAAATTAGTTTTAAGGTTGTTAATAATAATAAATTTAGATGGTAGGATTGGTTAGCAGCTACTATAACCTAGAAAGGCTATAATCAATGTGTTCTTCCTCCTGACAAGCCTAATTACATGCTTAGCAGAGTTGTCACAGGGTATGATTAGATAACTTCCTCAGTAAAGGCGCATGCGAGAATTCCAAAGGTTACCCATTTGTTTATTATTACTTCAGTATGTTTGAGGTAAATTGCTTTTACAGACTATGTTATAACATTGCGTAAAGATATGCTTTATTTGATAACAAAAATGTGACATTAAGAAAATAAACCTAGGGGAGCCTGGGTGGCTCAGTCAGTTAAGCAACTGACTTCAGCTCAGGTCATGCTCTTGAAGTTCACGAGTTCCAGCCCCACATTGGGCTCTGTGCTGACAGCTCAGACCGTGAAGCCTGCTTCGGATTCTGTGTCTCCCTTTCTGCCCCTCCCCAGCTCGTGCTCTATCTCTCTTTCTCTCTTTCTCAGAAATAAATAAACCTTAAAAACATTTTTTTTAAATAAAAAGAAAAGATGGGGCGCCTGGGTGGCTCAGTCAGTTAAGCATCTGACTTTGGCTCAGGTCATGATCTCACGGTTTATGGGTTCGAGCCCTGCATCGGGCTGTGTGCTGACAGCTCAGAGACTGAAGCCTGCTTCGGATTCTGTGTCTCCCTCTCTCTCTGCCCATCTCCCGCTTGTGCTCTGTCTCTTTGTCTCTCAAAAATAAATAAATGTAAAAAAAATTTTTTTTAATAAATAAAAAGAAAACAAACCTAGTTGTATCCAATTAAAGAAGAAAAGTATATTTAAAATGATAAAATTTTATACTGCTTTCTAAATAACACAAAATGTCCCAAGTTTTGCTGGAATGTAGATATCAAATTTTTATTTTTATCTAAAATTTTTATTTCACAAAATATAACATCACCTGAGCAGACCTTCCTTGAATTTTAGCATCCTACCCCAGGATCTTTCATCAGATGCCAGAGTACCTCTAACACTATACACAGAGTTAGGCTGAACCAAATGAAATGGCTGATATTACCATTTTTGATATATAAAACGACAGTTTTATATGGTTCAACCTAACATGGCTTTAGCAGTGTTTCACTTTTTCATAATAAACAGTCTTGAACTACCTTTTCACTCATCATTTGAACTTCTTTGCTTGAATATATTTTAATAATATAATCTCTAGAGGAATATAAAATTAATAAATAACAGCCTTGCATACTTGGTTAATTCAAGTGTATGGTAAACAATAGTAGTGGCCTTTCTTCCACCCCTCCCCACCCAACCTTCCAGCAAAACTTCCTTATCATTAAGTGTTGAACAATACTCTACTAAATATAGCTAGATATTTTATATTTGGCTTTTCCAACTTTTGGGAGCAATAATATGCTACTTGGTTGATGAACTTCAAACTCAAATTTAATAAAGAAAAATCCCAATAAGTACCTCATGAACTCTACACTTACTAAATAAAAAACAGCAAGAAAAGGTGATAATACGAGGTTCCTGCTTGGCTCAGTCGGTTAAGCGTCCGGCTCTTGATTTCGGCTCAGCTCATGATCTCACAGTTGTGGGTTCAAGCCCCGCACCAGGCTCTGCACTGACAGCGCGGAGCTTGCTTGGGTTTCTCTCTTTCTCCCTCTCTCTCTCTGCCCCTCCCCACTTGTGCACTCTCTCTCTCAAAAAATAAACTTAAAAAAGTATTTTCTAAAAAGACTAGAATACAATGCTTTAGGAAAAGTCGCTTTCACATAAATAAAAATAAATAAATAAACAAACAAACAGTTAAGGATTTTTTTCCCCAGAAATCAACAAATGATGACTTATATTTTCCTTACCTTTGCTAATAAGAAACTGCACAGTGCACAAATGACCAGCTCTTGCAGCTTTCATCAAAGGTGTTCTTCCACCTTCAGATTCATGTTCCTATTAAAGAAACAAAAAATAATCCATCAGTGCCAATTCATTAACCATCTATTTTAAACACTTAGTACAAATGACATGATAAATAAGAGATTTAATACTTACTCAATGTAGCCACTTATACTACCCATTTCAATTCCTACAAAATGTAGGATTAATTTCAGTCCACACTAGATGGTGTAACTTTTTTAAGGGCAAGTTCAGTTTTGCATACCGAACAGCATTTAAAGATAATACTTATGTTCAGTTTGATCCTCAAAGAGAAATAGCTGCATTTTTCTAAGCATAAGGCTAAAAAGATGTTTTCCTAACTATTCATATGAATTATGAAAAAGCAACCTTAGTCATTACAGGTGAGCAGGAAGATTGTGATCCTAAGAGATTAGAAACCAATAAGAACTCTATCAAAGGGCAGAAACCAGTCCCTAAAGTAAAACACTATGGTATTTCAAGAAAAAAGGGAAAAGAAAAATATACCAATGAGCAGACATTTTTTTAGAAATTAAATATGTAAGTAGTGAAAGGCAAAAACAACAGTTTTATAATAGCAGAAAGATTGCTGTTCCTTTTAGGAAGTTTGCCAGCAAGAGAAGTGAACGATAAAACAGCTTCCAACCATCCAAATATCAAATGCCACCAAAAGGAGCTTGCTTATATTATGTAGTAAGTAGTCCTGTTGGAAGAACTGTAAACTCTTACTATATTCATCTCAGTATGAAAATGTAGCTGATAAACTGCTTCCATGAAAAGTTCACTCACCTATCCCCTCTTTCATTATCTATGCAAGCATTAACTTCTGTTGTTCTGGTCCTCTTTTGCTACTAAGAAAAACTTGATAAAGAACAGTAATTATCTCAAGCTTTACTTCAGCTCTATTCTAGTTAACTCAGAATCCTTTAGCTACCACACAGTCAACTTAAAAATAGTGTGCTCTGGAGCGCCTTAGGTGGTTCATTCGGTTAAACATCCAATCCAATTCTTGATTTCAGTGCAGGTCATGATCTCACACTTGTGAGATGAAGCCCCTCTTCGGGCGCTGTGCTGAGCATGGAGCCAGCTTGGGATTCTCTCTACCTCTGTCTCTGCCCCTCCCCTACTCGCATGTGCACACATGCTCTCTCTCTCAAAATAAATGAACCAAAAAACTTAGTGTGCTTTGCCAATAGGATGCAATTTAGTCAGTTTATATAACTATACCTAATCTACAACATGGGCAAACTAACAACGAGAAATAAGTAGATTGTCAACCTAATGGAAACTTCAAACTGGTCTGCAGTGATGGAAATTACAGTCTAAAAGAGATTTTAATATTTTTATCTTGATAGTGTAGAATCTCTCAGCCTCTTATAAAAATTAATGTTTCGACTTCTTGATTGTTATGTACAGATAAACCCATTTTAAGTTGAAAATATCTTAAATTGAAAATGCACTTAGGGGTTCCTGGGTGGCTCAGTTGGTTAAGCATCTGACTTCGGCTCAGTTCATGATCTCACAGTTTGTGAGTTCGAGTCCTGCATCGGATGAGCACGAGCCCTGTATCGGGTGAGCACGAGTCCCAATTTGGGTGAGCCCTGCTTCTCTCTCTCTCTCTCTGCCCCTCGTGAGATTCTCTCTGCCACTCACTCACTTGCGTCCTCTAAATAAATAAATAAATAAACAAATAAATAAATAAATAAGAAAATGCATTTAACACACCTAACCTATTAAACATTATAGCTTAGCTAAGCCTACCTTAAACATGCTCAGAACATTTGTGTTAGCCCACAGTTGGAAAAAATCACCAAGAACAAAGCCTTCTTCATCATAAAGTACTTAATATCTCATGCAACTTATTGAATACTGTACTGAAAGTGAAAATGGTTCTATGCATAGAACAGAATGGTTGTGAGTGCATTGGTTGTTTATCCCTGAGATCCTTGACACCACGTGGCTCACTGGAGCTGCTGCTCACTGCTGCTTCCCAGCATTTTAAGAGTATCTTACCAAATAATGCTAGCCCAGAAATAGGTCAAAATTCAAAATTCGAATGCTTTCTACTGAATGCATACTGCTTATTGCATATTGCAATATTGCAATTGCATATTGCTTTTGCATCATTGTAAAGTCGAAAAATCCTAGGTGAACCATTATAAATCGGGGACCATCTGTATGGACGTAGCTATATGAACCGCTCCTTCATCTTTCAATCATATATTAGTTTGTATAACTATTTGGCTAACATGTCTCTGCCACTAAATTGTAAGCTCCATGAGCATAGTAATCACATCCATTTTTGCTTACCATTATATACCTAATGTCTAAAACAATGACGTGTTTCAATAAGGTTTACCGAGAAGGAACCTAAGTGTAACTGACCTCTCAAATCTTCCCTTTCATAGTACTGAGGTTTGAAGTTTTAATTTTCTACTAGGTAAATAAGAGAAAGAAAAGTTAATTTGACAAGAAATTAAGAGTAGTAGCTAAACTCAGAGTAAGACATTCATTATCTGCATTTGATAATACATTGTTACTAGAACATGGGTGGGCAATAATAACATCACTTTTCCTTTTTTTTTTCTTTCTTTCTTATCTCTTAAGCCTAGCAATGACACCCATCAGCATAACAAGGTCCTGTGAATAATGGCAAAGACAAAAGATTTTGAAAGCCCTCCTTTAAAATAAACTTTTAAAATAACTGTTAGGTCTGCATATATCAAACATTACTACAGCTGTTAAAGGATAAGAAATCACAAAAGTACAGTCCCAAGATCCTCACCCCAAGTCAAATTCCAAAATTCAACATACTAACCAAATTTCTGAAATGAAAGTTGTGAAAAGATGCCTGTTTTATTTTCCTCCCTATAAATATATATACATGCACTTTTTGGTTTTGAGAAACATTATTATGTTTGAGAAAATGGTTGATAAAACAATGCCCCAACTTTATAAGGCATTATAATATTTCACATCTAAAATCAATACTGTAAATCCCACAACATATATCATTTGCCCCAAAACATCTGACCGTTAAATCTTTCTTTTAAAATAGGAATGGGGCAGGGAGCACCTCAGTGGTTCAATCGGTTAAGCATCCGATTCTTGATTTCAGCTTAGGTCATGATCTCAGAGTTTGAGAGTTCTAGCCCCCCATTGGGCTGTGTGCTGACAGTGGGGAGCCTGCCTTGGGTTCTCTCTCTCTGTCACTACCCTACTCATGCCCTCTCTCAAAAGATAAACTTTATTTTAAGATAAACTTAAAATAATAATAATAATAAAAATAGAATAGGAATCGGGGTATCTGGGTAGCTCAGCCGGTTAAGCATCCTACTCTTGATTTTGGCTCAAGTCATGTTCTCCGTTTCCTGTGTGGGCTCTGTGCTGACAGCATGGAGCCTACTTGAAATTCTCCCTCTTTCTCTGCCCCTCCCCCACTCACACTCTGCTTCTCTCAAAATAAATAAACTTTAAAAAAAAGTCTTTGCCCCCCTCCAAAATAGGAATCAAAGTAATATATACTACTTACTTATGAATGTTGGGTTTGTTAGCACAGCCAATATTTGTTCAAGATCAATCAAACTTTAACATATAAATTATGATTATTTTTCCTTCATAAACACAGAAAATTATTTTCCAAGGTTATAAACTTAATATTGACATTGTAATATTGCTTCTTTCTCTGTTTTGGGGAATAGCTAGAATAATAGAGTTCATTCGTTCCTTGAACATTTGGTAAAACTCACCTATAAATCCATCTGGTTTCTTACCTTCATTGGATTAGATTTTAAACTACTGAATTCAATGTGTAACACTTACTGTTCTATTGAGGTTTCCTGTTCATGAGTCAATTTTGATAATTTACATACTCACAGAAAAAAATCAGTACTTATCTCATGTCAGCATTCAAACTTATTCACTGTTCATATGACTGACTGCCTTATACATTTTAAAGATCTCTAATGTATCATATAGTTATAACTACCTTTAAATTTCTATCATTTACCTGTGCCTTTCCCCCTTAAAAAAAAATAGTCTGCCTTATTTTATCTATTTCAGTAGTTGTGTTTTGTTGTTAAATCAGCTTTTAATTTTGCTTTTTTTTCCCCTATTTTTCCTTTTTTATCCCTATTTTTTGTTGTTTTCTATTCTATAAATTTTGCTTTTATCTTTATTCCTTTCTTGTTTATCCTGTTGTTTTTTTATTAGCCTCATTTACTTTCATTTTATATAATATAAAAAATTTCCTTCTAAGGACCACTTTAGCTGTATCCTCTTACCTAAGTTTTGATGTGTAGTTTTTGTGATAACTTCTTTGTAATTTTTACTATGATTATAACTGTGATTGTCTCCTACCCATGCACTATGTAAAAGTATCTTTCTTCATTTTACAGGTGTATGGGATTTTAAAAAAGTTTTTATTGTTGATTTGTAATTTTAAAGCAATAGAGACCAAAGAAATGTAGCCCATATGACTAGTAAGTTTGTTTTAAAGACTTTTTGTGGCATATAACATGGACAATTTTTATACGTGTTCCATGTGTTGTTAAAGAATATATATAGCATATATAGTGGAAACAATGTTAGCTCTTTATTTACAAGACCAAATTTGGGGCACCTGGGTGGCTCAGTCAGTTGAGTGTTTGAATCTTGGTTTGGCTCAGGTTATGATCCCAGGGTCATGAGATCAAGCCCCATGTCAGGCTCTACACTGAGTGTGGAGCCTACTTAAAACTCTCTCTCTCTCCCTCTCTCTCAATCTCTCTCTCTCTCCAGCTGCTCCTCTTCCACCCTCTCACTCTAATTAAAAAAAAAAAAAAAAACTTAAAAAAAAGAAAACTTGAGTTTTCTATTCTTAACAATTGTTTTGTCTATTTGATCAGTTTCATGCAGAAGTGTATGGAAAAAATCCTATCACCACAAATGTAGACTTATTTTTCTTGTAACTTTGTAATTTTCTATTTTACTTAGAGAGAAGATCGTTAATTACTGATTAGTAACTGATTGTTATGATCAGTTGGGAGCATTTA